TGGTGATGATATTGATAATGATGACGATGATGATAATTTTAATAACAATGGTAGCGATATTCATAACGCGAACAAATATGATATTGTTGGGATAACTATGAGAATAATAGTGGTTATGATGTTGATAATAACGATTATGATAATCAGAGCAATAATAACGATAGTGGTATTCATAATCAGAACCAAAATGGTATTGTAAGGATAACTATGATCATAATAAGAATGGTGATGATATTGATAATGATGACGATGTTGATTTATAGTAATATTAATTGTAGTCATGTTAACAATGAGAACAAAAACTTATATTAGTTGTCGAGAGATTTTAAGTTATTTGGTTGTTTTCCACTTCCCTTGACATTGGGTACTTTTTAGCGCATCAACTCTGGTTTATTTTGCGGATCGTGATTTTCTGGAGGAAGTTTTCGCAATTGAATGAGCAATTCAAAAGTATTTCAAAACATCACGGGTGACAATGATTGCAAGAGCAAGCAATGTTTAATTTTTTAATTACGGTTTTAAGTAACAAATACACTTTCTGAAGCCACTTTCTAAGTTCTGTCTGCAGATTACTGATAGCACTTTTCAACCGTTGAAAAAATGCCTGTATAATTCACTTTTAAATCTATCATCTCACACCATATCTGCGTCGGGAAATGATATGGTTTATACACTAAAACTTCTGAATTGCATAAAATAGCTTCAAATTTAAACGGAGCATCATACTGGAATCCCTTCTCACGCTTTGCAAACTCGGTGTTAATGCAGAGACGAAAAAAGAAGGCTGATAAAGAAAAGAAGGCGCAAAAATAAAAACATAGACCATAACCAAAACAGGTTTTGACTCACCAAGGTTCTGTTTCGATGAAGAGAAAGTCAATCCTGAATTGTGAGCCCGGAGGTACTGTTACGGTCCACACACAATACGCATTGCTGGGGTAGTTTCCAGGGTAATTAGGAGATGCTAAGTTCCCGGATGGGCCGACTAAAGCACCACCACATTGCCCTGGTGCCACTGAAAGAGTTAAAACAATAATTGAACGTTAATAAAAGGTAAAACATATTTATCTATTGAACCACAAAGCTAAAAATTTCAAGTTTTCTGATTCTGTTTGATTACTCCTAATAAATGATCAGTTTTGATTAAGTTAGCCGGTTCCATCTTCATGCAGAAGACAGAGGACACATCACAATAAAACAGAGCCTCGTTGACCTATTATTTTCATTGTTTTGCTCTTTTGTCTTTTAATGCCCTTTTGTTTTACGCCAACTGTGTCATCTACACTAAGTCATGAGCGAGTTAGCTTTGGTCCCGCATTCGTATGCTTCTCAGCCATGAAAGGGATTTGTCAATGGTTAGCATAGGAATGTAGAGGTCTACACCAATTAACAGGGCCTCTGGCTTGAATGGATTTTAGGTCTATGCGCTTCTTTGAAAACTTCGCAGCTAATGTTAAGCTTCTATTTATCACTAGTAGAGAAGGATTATTATGAAAAGCCGTTAACTGTATGGCTATTTTTAAAGTAAAATGCTTAGCGACCTATACGCGATTCATAAAATCATTCCTCAGCTTCACCTGGTTGAGGAGGCGCTTTAGTGGTTGGACCAGGAAAAGGTAATGACTGTGTCACTATGATGTACGCCAGCACAAACTACGGAAAAATAACAAAAGAAAATGTTTACTGTTTCTCCACACTGTTTGCCAGTGGCAATATAATAAGTTACATTACCACGAATAAATTAGTGGAATGAAAAGCGTTCGTTGATACCTGTGGGATTTAGACTGCCCGTTTGAAAGATGAGCTTTTGCTCAAGA